GATGCTGCTTGGCCTGCTGTGTTCATCCAGCCCTGCACCTTGTTGTCTCGGATTCTCCAGCATCTGCAGTTCCTACTATCTGTGCTTCATTAGTGCCTGCTTGCCTCTGATCATGGCTATCATCAGGGCTAAACGTTCAACCCCACATGTGGATAGTTGGTATTGGTGATGGATAGGAGCAGATAGTTTTGTATGCTTTTTCCCCCTTCTCTGTGTGAACTATTTCTTTACGGAGGTGCCTGCTCAATTTATGTAAGCAGTGAAATAGCTGACAGCAAATACTGACTTGTCATTTGTCATTATTTATTGACATTTTATTACTTATTTGGCAGTGTAGCACCAAGTACAGAATTTACTTTGAGACATTAAATAATTGTCAGAGATGCTGAATGTTTAGAAGTTTACCCAGATAATTTGTATACTTGATGCAATGCATTCCATTTAACTTTGATTGCTTTCTGAGTGATTTCAACAGCCTTCTCATCTTTCTTGGACCATGGAAATTTTTTATAAGTTCTTTCTTTTAAATAGAATGCTTCTTGCAAATTTACCTCCCGGCAAGCATTTCCTGTGCCTGTTTACATCTGGCGCCTTGTAACCTTGGCAACGCATCTGTACTCCAACCCTGAAGTTATAGAAAATACTTCAGGTCCAGCTGTGTTTGAGTAAAGGTAGTTTTTTTTCCAACCAGGTCCTTGAAAGTTTGTAAAACAAAAAATAGCAAACATACTTAAAAAACAGTTGAATGTTAGTGTATATGAACTGGCTGTGGTCAGTAAAGTTGACACATGACTAATGTTCTATGACACGGTTTCTAATATCAAGAGTTGTTCACTGAAGATCTGTGGTAGTGAATAGGTGTTTTGTTCAGAGCAGTATGCTACAGTCGAAACATTTTGCAAAGTATTTAGGTGCTCGTTCACTCATTACTCTCAGAGCCAAGAACAACTACTGGACTGTTTGCAGCCTCATCCAAAGTGGCAGAAATTGACAAAAATTTTGCAAAGAGAATGAAAATATCGGAACATCTGGTTTCCGTCTGCTGCCAAGAAAAGGAAGGAAGGGGGTGGGGAAGGGAGAGAAGCTTGTTAAATTATACAAGTTGACTTACTAAAATGTTTTGCACAAAGGAAGAAGCGAGGAAACCTTCTAGAAGCTTGTGAGAAGACTTGTTTGATTCAGTGTTGCTGATGTGTGGCGGAATGATGAGGTAGGAGAATCCAGATGGAACCTATGCATGGAGTTCCCAATGAAATATCTTATTCTGCTGGATTTTCTGAAGTAGTTTCATACCAAAGACGCCATTCTATTACTGGTAGATGTATTGTTGCAATGATCTAAGTGACAGTATGTTTGTTTGTTTTTAGTTGCATTGGGAGTGCTGAACCAGTCTGACTTAGAGTCTAGTAAAGTCTGTGATTCTTGATCTGGATGAAACACTTCATTTCCTATGAAGAATGATGAAACAGTTGTTGGAACACTGAGTTTTAAAACCTGAACCTGAAATTTCATCATGATGGATTAACAGGCAAATCTTCTTTGACTTTGTTCCATTAAGAAGGAGCAGGCAATTAAAACAGTGTTCTACATAGGAACAGTGCTAGGCCATTCAGCCCCTTGAGCCTGATCTGCGTTCAATTAAATCAAAGCTCAATTTTATTTATCCACCTTCAATTTCAGTTATACATTTTGGTTTCATATACCTTAATGTGCTTATACAACAAAAATCCAATGATCTCAATGCAGAAGTTTTGAATCAACCATACCACCTTACATTAATTACTGAGGAGTGAGTTCTAGTATTTCCACTATCTGTTGTGCAAATATGTGCTTTCTGACATCATTCTGGAATAGCCTAAATCAAACATTAATGTTATGACATCTTGACCTAGATTCCCCCACCAGGGGAAAAACCCTATCAATTCCTTTAATCAGTTTGAATACCTCTGTGATACTCATAATAATACAAATCCAAAAGCCAAAGAACTGCAGATGCTGGAAATCAGAAACAAAAACAGAAATTTCTGGAAAAACTCTCCAGTGAAATGTGCAACTGTGGAGAGAAAGCAGAGTTAATGTTTTAGGTCCAGTGACCCTTCTTCAGAACTGATTGTAGCTAGGAAATGGTTGGTATGTATGCAGAAGATGGGATGGGGAGAGGACCGGGTGACCCTATCAGTATTCTTGATGGGTTTCTGTTTTGATGATGCCAGCTTCTACAAGGGGACCTCCGAAATGTCCACCTTCCTCCTCAACAAGGATTCCACATCACAGCGATTGTCAGGGTCCCCGGTCATATCTGACCCATCTCCTGCACTTTGGCCCTCAACCTTTCTCTTCCCTCCCACAACATCAGTAGGGTTCCCTTCATCCTCACCTTCCACCACGCTAGCAGCCACATTCAAAAGATCATTAGCTGCCATTTCCGCCACCTCCAGCTGGGTGCCACCACCAGACATACATTCCCCTCCCCTCTCTTGTCAGCCTTCCGGAGGGAACATTCTCTCTGGAACACCTTGGTCCACTCCTCCTCCACTCTTAATACTCCCCATATCCACACAGCACCTTCCGAGGCAATTGCAAGAGGTGTAACACCTGCCCATTTACTTCATCCCGCTTCACTATCCAGGGCCCCAGATGTACCGTCCAGGTGAAGCAGTGATTTACCTGCACTGAAAAAGGGTCGCTGAACCTGAAACATTAACTCTGCTTTCTCTCCATAGATGCTGCCAGATCTGCTGAGTTTTTACAGCAATTTCTGTTTTTGTTCCAGTTTATGCAACCTGTCCTAACTCTTGTGTTTTATTATTTTATGAATTTGCAGAATGTAGGTGATTTATTTATTGCATTTATTTTGGGAATTCCAGTATTTGGACCAAACTAAGTGTAGGACTGGTGATTATAGTTTCAAGGACGATGGTGTTTGGTTTGGAAGGGAATTTGCAGGTTGTGGTATTCCCATATATCTGTTGCCCTTGTTTTTGTAGGTAGTGGAGGTCACAGGTTGGCAAGGTACTATCCAAGGAGGCTTGGTGAATTGTTGCATTGCATCTGGTACACACTCTTGCCACTGTGTATCAGTGGTGAGAGAGTGAATGTTATTGACAGATGGGGTGCTAATCAAGCAGGCTGCTCTGTCCTGGATGGTATTCCACCTTCTTGAGTATTTTTGCACTCATCCAGTAAAATAGAGGGTATTCCATCACACACTTGGCCTGTACCTTGTAGATGGTGGAGAGGTGTGGTGGTCAGGTGATGGTAATGAGCAGGGGGTTTCCTTGCCCATGTTTGACTTGAGGCTATGAGGCTTCATGTCTGGAGTCAATGTTGAAGGTTCCCAGGAGAACTCCTTCCTGACTGTATGCCACTGTGTCACCACTTCTCTGAGCGGTCATGGTGGTGTCTCGGACATTGTCTGTCTGGTATGATTCTATGAGAATACCTACATCAAGCTGCTATTTGACTAGTCAGTGGATAACTCTTCCAGTTTTGGCTCATGTAAGTAAGGAGACTTCACAGGGACAAAGCTTTGCGTTTGCAGAGCCAGTTACATTTTTTTTTTTAATCAGACTTCGTAGCAGTCAACCTAGCGGCTTGCTGGGCCATATAGGAGTCAACCACATTTCCATGGATAAGGAGTTAAATGTAGGCTGGACTATATTCACACACCAGATTCTAGGAAATTCCCTGGGATAAGTTACACTTTGTTGAGAACTGTGATCGATCAAAGGCTAGCAACTCTAATAAACGCCATTGTCACCCACAGAGGGAGTGGCTGCTGCCAGTACGATGCACACCTAGCTTCATCTCTGGACCCAGGCCACAGGTGAGTGATGGTGGGAGGAGCATCATGAGGTGAAGGTCACAGGTGAGAGAGGGATTAGTAGCATTCTCAGGAGTGTGGCCCTCAGCAGCAATCCCCACCTCCAACCTTCATGATGCCAGGTCCCTCAATTAACAATGAGGGGCTTTAAATGAGGGAACCTAGAAGCAATTTGCACAGTTTGTGTGTTGTGCTCCCCACACGGCAAGTCCCCAGCGGGGAGGGGGTGGTGTTGGGGAGGGTGGGGGTGGTTAATATAGTACAATTAGGCTGTTATGAAAAAAAATTATGGAAGATGCTGAAAATCTCAAACAAACACATGCAGCCAGTCTGGCAGAATCTGTGCACACAGAAACAGAGTTGACATTGTGAGCCTGGTATAACTCTTCTTCAGATTAGGCCTTTAAGTGGACATTGATAGCCCTCTTAAAGGCTTCATTGGTGGCTGGGCAGGTAGGCCATCTGGAATGGAGTTAATCAAGGTGGGGATCAGAAGGTGACAGGGTCCCCAACTGCCACCCTCCCACCTGGTTAAATGCCATCCTGCCACCAAATTCACCATGGGCAAAGTTATTAAATTCTGGCCACCAGTTCATGAGCCCACAGTTATTGGAAGAATTTTCTAAAGACGTATAAACAACATATTTACAGAAATTCTGTTTCACTTTAACCATGTTGAAATACTTTTGGATTAATATTGTAGTACTCTTATATCTATTGAAAAAGGTTGTGGATTTAAGTCCCGTTTCTAAGGTTTGTGCACACAATCTAGCTTGACATTCCTGTGGAGTTCTGCAAGCATGCTACATTGTTGGAGTTGCAGTTTTTCAGATGACACATTAAATTGAATAAAGTGGATGTGAAAGATCCCACAGCACAGTTTGAAGATATTTTCCCCATTAAGCAGACAAAGAATTATTCCTCCCCCAAAGTCACTAAAACAGAGCAATCTACAGAAAGTGCTGGAGAAACTCAGGAGATTTAGCACAAACAGTGGAGACAAAAACAGTTTTTCAAGTCCAGTGGCACTTCAGTAGAACATTCTGATGAAGGGTCATTGGATTCAAAACATTAACTCTGTTTTTCTCTCCACGTTGCTGCCAGACCTCCTGAGTTTCTCCTGAGCACTTCTTGTTTTTGTTTCAGATCTCCAGCATCCACAATTATTTGTTTTATTTTAGATAGATATTCATTCATTTGGAGTTTGTGGGAACTTGCAGCTTGGCTTTTCTAGCTTGTCTGTTTGTAAGAGTAAGTTAAAGGTGAACTTTTCATTTTGAAAAGTGTGATAAAAAGGTGAGGGGTCCTGAATTTATCTAGTGTCTTTCACAACCTCCAGACTCTCCAAAGTGCTTCACAGCCAATTGGATAAGTTTTAAATGTTGGGCTAGAAATCATGTGGGCCTGCTGGATGTTTCGGGTAGGTGGACACATAAAATAGATTAGGTGGCTAGGTCCCCACCTTCCCACCCCTCTAAAATTGGCAGCCTGCCTACCATTTGTAAATAAACAATTAAGAGTCAAATTGGGCTTGTTAAAAGCCGATAATGCTCGATCCACCACAAGATCTGTTTGGCGTGGGCGTCCTTATGAGGGTGGACAAGTGATTTTATGTTAAAGAAGTGTACGGAACAGCAGGAATAAAGGGTGGTACTGTCTTCGGGGAGCGGGTGGGGGAGCTCTTTGTGCATCAGGGACCCTCACCTTAAAGATAGTAGCCCCTTTCCTTCCCAAACATCTGCTTGAAAACACTACCTGCTGAACTCCCACCACTCCCCCAACCCTAAGTTTTCCAAACTCTCCTAACTCAATACTCTGGACTTAACTTGTATTCATGCTGTGTTTTTTGTAGCCCTGCCTACGGTACCAACAGCAGCCAAGACTGAGGTCATGGCATCGCCTGTACTGCTCAGCTGCTGGCCAATCATATTGACTGGCAATTACCATAAGCAGCACTTCCTCCCCAGTGATCGACAAAATTAGGCAATGTAGCTTGCCTATAGCATGTCATGGTTGCTGGGCAGGCTTCTTTCTGATATGTCGGCTTCCCTTCTTGGGACCGAGCAGTCTGCTACCCCTCACCACTCTCAATTTTCAACCCATTGTCTCAATTATATTGAAGAACAACTGTTTGGTGCACAGGAAAGCCCTACAAGCAGCAATGAGATAAATGACCAGGTCACCTGTTTTAGTAGTGTTTGCTGCTGTACAGTGATCCTTTTGCAGATTGAGCCTTCAGTTATATGTGGTGTCAGCTCACAAAGTATCTATTCATAGCACAAAACACTTGACAAACACGGGTAATACACCATGTGCTTTGCAATTGAATACTAAGTCTGGCTGAAGATTGCAGGAGAGTGGTGAGCTACATTTCATTAAGAAAGTGTTGGGTTTGATTTACAGTTCATTAGTTGGATGGATCATGTGTAAAGAAATATTTTTACCTGGAGTTTCAGGTCGGATCATCTAATAGGGGTTAAGATTCAGCTTTAAGAAAAGTATAGCTGAGAACTTCACTGTGGCTCATTCAAAAACCTTCAAAGGTTTGGGCTTAAAAGGAGGTACTGTTGGGCTTCTATGGGAAGGAGGTGGCATCAAAAAGGTGAGAGGTGAAGATGGATCTAGCCTCTAGTTCTTGTGCTAGTTACACTAAAATTGTCTCACATAACCTGTCAAACTCATCCAAAACTCAGTCATCTGCAATATCCTGTCCTTTTTGGGGGAGAATTATCTGTACACAGTTCAGTCTTAACAGTCACCTGCGGACTAACTGCAATCCTGTCAAACGTCTCAGATTATGAGTCTAGTCATCTTCACTTCAAAAGGTAAACGAGAAAGTTGCTGCCCAGAATTGGACGTAATATTCCACTGAGGTGTACCCAGTGACTTATGAAGATTTGTCATCACTTTGTCAGATTCAGTCAGATCAGCCATGATTTTATTGAATGACGCAGCAGGTTCAAGGTGCCAGATGACCTAAATTCCACCTATTTCTTGTGTTCTGATGTTGTTGCTTTTGTACACTGTTTCTTTTGTACAGCATGTGGTTGTGCACTAAACCTCTAGCGACAATTTCAAAGACTCTCCCTACAACAGATGTTAAATTTACTGGCCTGCACATATGACCTCGTCCATGTTCCAGATATCGCCTTCCAAGGAAAGATTTTGAAAGGTTTATACGTTAATAAATGTTCAAATTGGTTAGTAAAAATATTATGGCTGTAAAAAGGACACTAGAGAGATATTAATAAAAAGCTTTTCAGCACCAGAATTGAACTTAATTTCATTTTCATGTTATTGTATGTAATTATATAAGTGGCATCAGGTCTGAGGCATTGTGGTTCTGTGGAAAGACTAGAGAAGCTGTAAATATTCTCCTTACAGCGGAAAATGTTAAAGGGAGATTTAATGGAGGTGCTCAAAATTACAAGATGTTTTATTTTGTAAGAACCAGGTGTTTTAAGATAAATGATGAACATCCAGGACAGAAACAAAGAGAATCTCTTTTGCATAGAAAATTATTCTGAATTGAAGTTCACAGTGACATTCAGGAGAGAATTGGATGCACACTTGAAAAAGAAATAAATAAATGCAAGGCTATAGGGAGACTGTAGAGGGGTGGAATTAATTAAATAGTTCATTCAAAGAATTGGCAGGGTACAATAGGCAAAATGGCCTCCACTTACAGTATATGATTCTACGATTCTAAGAAACTAGTTCGAAAGAAAGCTAAAGCCTTAAAAGATTAAAGTTATGCAGTTATTGAAGATGAATCAATAGCAGTTGAATTCATTTGTCAAAATGTAATATTTTGCTATCCAAATACCATAGAACAAACATTAGAAGATATTTTAAAATTAGTGAGGAGGAGATAGTTCATCAAGTAAAGAACTGAAGATAAATAAATCTCCTGGACTATGCCCAGGGCTATGAAAGAGAAAAGGGAGAGGGTCTGACTCTTATGAAGTTTCGTTAGAAATTTAGGGAAAGTTAAACATATTGTATTAATATAAAAGAAAAATACTGCAGATGCTGGAAATCTGAAATAAACACAGAAGATGCTGGAGAAACTCTGGAGGTCTGGCAGCCTCTGTGCATTGCCTTAATATAAAGAAACGGGGACCATTGTAATTGAGGTAGGTAGAGGGCCATTAATTTTGCATCAATATTTGGCACAATGATGGAAACTTTAAGTGCTTGATATGCCCCAGTGGGAACACTCTAACCTCCGAACCGAAGGGTTGTGAGTTCAAGCCCCTCTTAAGATCCTTGACCACAAAATGTAGCCTTACACTCCAATGCAGTATTGAGAGAGTGCTGTAGACTGAGAAACCTTGAGTCAGAACAAAGAAGAGGCTCATGCCATTTCTGGTATGACCAGATATGGTCATTCTGGCATGGTATAATCATACCATTCTGAAAGGAGTCATGGCAGACCTAAGGCTTGACTCCGTTTCTCGCTCCACAGATGCTACCAGACCTACTGAGTTTCTCCAGCATTCTGTGTTTGTTTCAGATTTGTAGCATTTGCTGCATTTTGCTTTCATTACTGCTCAGAGTCTTTTGGATGAGACACTAAATCCAGAGCCTGTTTACTTCCTTACATGGATGTAAGAGATCCTGTGGCTCTATTTTGGAAGGGAGCAAGGCAGTACATCCCAGTGACCTAGTCAATATTTATCCCTCAGCTAACATCTCTAACTAGATCATCTGGTAATTTCTCTCATTGCTATTCCACAGAACTTGCTGTGTGAAAATTGACTTGCATCCCCTGCATTGCAATAGTCATGATTGACTCAGATGTTTTTTGATCTCCTAAAGTGAACTGTTCTACATATATGCAAGATCTGTTTTTCTTTTACTAAGAAATTCACAGGAAGAATATCTTTATGTAAGAGCCCTTTATGACAGACAGCATCGATTAGGAGGCACATGTCCAGTATGGCTAAGTTCTTCAGTTTCTTTAAGAATGTTAATAAATGGTGGAAGTTGTGGAGTTTATCGGCAGTCTCAGCACAGTCCAATATTAAAGACTACTAATTAAACTAAATCCACAGGAATCAAGTCTATAGAGATTGTGGTGAGACATTCATATGCACTAGCTAGACCACAAACACAGTATAAAATCATGGTCACCATACTTACCCATAGAACAAGAGTAGAAAATCTTAAACTTAATACAGATTTTAGAAAAATAAATCTTTGCTGAAAGGATGATAATCCTGCAATGACAATTAAATGATTATATGGCTGCAGAGGTGATAGAGTCTCTAATCTTCTAGCTGTCATAATGTGTGGGTGAGCTGATCTTTTCCTGAATGTTTGAAAACATTGGAAAAATCACCATATTATTAGTGGAATACAAGATGCTCAAGGGATTCAAGCTGCAGTTTGATGAGTTCACCCTGTATGAACTTAATGTGATTTTCTAATTCATCCTCGATTGACAGCATTTGCTGCCAAGAGCTGGCATTTATTGCTTATCCCTAGTTATCCAGAGAAGGTGGCAGTGGGCTACCATTTTGAGCAGTTTATACAACTTGGTGACTTTATAGATCATTTAAGACGAAAGTTAAGTGTCAACCATAATGGTGTGGCCTAGGAGTCAAATATAAGCCAAACTAGTCCAGGATGGCAGATTATCTATTTGGCATGAGTGAGCTGGTTGGATTTTACAACAATTGGACACTTCATGGTCACTTTAATCATAGCACAATATAAATTGTTAACCTATCATGGTGGGATTTGAACTCACATTCTCTGAGATATTGATCTGGGCTTGTGGTTTACCATGCTGGTAACATAAGCACTACTATAACAGGGGAGAAAATCTGATCTTCTGAGGTATTTGTTTTGTATCATAAATGGTTGGCACCAGTTTTGGTGGTTGAAAGTGTAATCTCCTAAACAGAGAGCCAAGATCACTGAAATGTGGAATGTGAGGATGGGATTCAGTGCTCAGTGAAGACCTTTGCTCAAAGCAAGCATGGTTGGAGGTAGGGCTATTTGTAGTGTCAATTCCTCAGCCAACATTCTGATGGAATGAGGCTTCCTACCAGGAATATTGGGTCAATGGGTGAAATCATAAAATGGCATGGCAATGAAGGAGGTCTTTCAGTCAGTCAGTCATTATACCAATTTCTTGAAACATCCAGTTGGTTCCAATTTGCTGATGTTTTCCCAAATCCCTGAAAGACCTTTCCTTCAAATGTTTAATTCCATTTAGAAAGTTATTGCTTAATCTTCTACATAGTGCCTCCCAGCACCCCATACAACCTCCTCGCCCCATCACTTTCAGTAATGCAATGCAAGGAAAATGATTTCTCCTTATCTCATAACTGCTTCTCTTGCTAATTTCCTTAAATCTGATTTTGAAAATCTCCACTAAATCCTTTGCTTAACCCTCCTCTCTCTTGGGAGAACAATCCAGCTTCCATTTAATTTATGTAATTCAGTACCTCATTCCTGGTATCATTCTCCTCTGCACTTTCTCTAAGATCTTTGAAATAACTCCACCGATGCCAGTATCCTGTTACCAAGTCACCCTTTATTTACACATAGAGAGTCCTTGACACTGATCCAGCTCACTAAGAGGAAACTCTGAGTGAACAGGATGTCTGATACTCCTGTGCTTATCTGTCAACCAGGGCTCCCTGATTGGGGCTGTTAATCTGGTCCAATCAGGGAACTCATATTCTATGAGATCCACTTGGTTGACTTTGTTACCATCACCATATCTGTTCCTCTCTGAGTCCAAGGACATAGGCCTGTTCTTTATTTTGTAGCTCTGCCTGGGGCGTTTTGGCATCGGATCAGGTTCCTCCAACTCTGCCTCTGATATGGGTGACATGAAAAGACACTGTAGCTCGCTTCTTATGCCTGGAGCATCTCGGAAGAAAATCATTCTCTTCTTAAGGCGGCAAAGGCATCAAGATGGTGACATCCACTGTGTCCATCTCGGATTCTGATGTATCTTCAATGCTTGATGGAGAGAGAGAATCCACGGGTTTCAAATATTGGGAAAGGCTGTCAAGGAGCTGGACACATTTTGCTCTCACACCATTTGCAAGTTTGCAGCTTTCATATGGTCTACGTGCTTGTTCAGGACCATCACACCAACCTGAACTTTATACGTCACTGGACCTGACCTTGCATCAACCATGCCGCTTACCCATGCAGGTCGGTTCCCATGATTCAGACATCAAACTTTGTCCCCTGAACTAAACTGTATCTCTCACTTAGCAGAGTCTTGTGTCTGGCATTGGCGTCCCTGATGCCATTTCACACCTCCACCCCCCACCTTCACTCCCAGGTCTGGGAAGATCAGATTTAACCTGGTGCAGGGTCTTCTCCCCGTTAGCAATACTTCTGGAGCTATCCCTGTAGCTGCATGAAGGGTGGTCCTATAATCAAATAGGAACCAGGACAACTTGGTATTTAGTGAAGCTGTAGGTTGTTTCTTTAAGCCTGCCTTCAAAGTTTGGACTGCCCTTTCTGTTAGACCATTGGACAATGGATGATATGGAGCTGTCCTTATGTGTTGATTACTATTTGACTTTAAGAAATACTCAAATTCTCTGCTGGTAAATGATGGCCTGTTATCTGTGGTGAACACTTCCGGGAGTCAGTGTATTGCAAAAGATGCGCGCAGTTTTTCTTTTGTCATTCCCGTGTTTGACAAATGAACTCTACACACATCCAGCCACTTTGAGTGGGTGTGCTCAATGACTAAGAACACTGAGTCCATGAAAGAACCTGCATAGTCGACATGTCACCAAGTCCAGGGTTTACCCAGCCATTCCCATGAATGTCAGGGAGCTGCTGGTGGTAATTTTTGTCATTGTTGGCACGCTGGGTACTGATCCACCAATGCAGCTATGTCTGCATCCAATCCTGACCACCAAACATAGTGTCTCGCCAAAATCTTCATTTTGGAAGCCCTTGGATGAACCTGGTGGACTTCAGCCAGTATCTGGTGGTGACCTTTGCTCAGGATAATCAGTCTTGTTGCCCATTATAATATACCACCCTCTACTGTGATCTGATCACTCTGGATCCAAAAAGGTTTCAGTTCGGTTGTGATGTCCTTTTGGTTTTCCCCATCATCACCAGCTGTTTCAGTTTTGCCAGGACCGGATCTTTCTGCATCCAAAGTCTGATAATGTCAGCTGTGACTGGAAGTGTGTCCAGAAAATTTAAAGCGATTGCGGACCCTTTCAGTGGCAGTGTCACCAGTGATATATCTGCCAGCGGGAGGCGTCTCAACACATC